AAATACTTTAGTAAGGGCAGCTTGTTAGCCTTCTATCTGGAAAGGGCACTAGTCAGTTTGGAAACATTTAAATTTAAGAGAAATATATAGGTCAGAATAACTTTAATGAGGCAACCATGTGCCATTTGTTCTTGTTCTTCCAACAGCTGGAGTTCAGGTTTGATACAGTAAAATAGTTCAGTACTGTTCTGGACTTAAACCAGCCTGCTGACTGTCATATAGGAGAGAGCACATTAAATATTAATGGTTCTATACCCTTTGCTACGAAAGGTCAATTTGGTCCAGTGTGTTTGGTAAAACGCACTCATTTTATTACCTCTAACACACTTGCAAGACGTTAGGGTTAGATGTGTACAGTTCCTGTATTTAAAAACCACCCAAAGTGTCTTCCTTACTATTTGTTATACATTCCACAGAGGAACACCTTTAGTGATCAAACCCATTTCGTTGGGGGACAGAGGTATTTTGGGCTTTTAACAGTGTTCATGGCTCCCACCTGTCATGATAATCAAAATTTCCCTGTGCAAGGTGTTGTATGACAGGAGGAACAGATGTTCTTCTACAGCAATACTGCGTACCCTCTGCTGCAAAGATGTGTCACAAAGGTCAGGAGGACAGAGCAGCAAAGGCTCAGCTATGGCACGGTTAACATTTAACATTTGCCTCCTCATGTCAGTTTCCTCACATAAGCACAAGTTTGAGCAGGTAGCACTGTACGTATTGCTGTCGCTAGTGAAGGAATATACCCAGGAAATGTATGTAGCAGCACTTGCACATCATTATCTCAGGTGCTTCCCTGACACTATGCACTGCGTAGCTGGGAAGCCTAGAAGACATGGAAGTACCCATCTCACTGTGGTGAAGAACTAATTTATAAGCCCTGAAAGCACCCAGTTGGCCCACATCATAAAATTTATACTGAATATCAGAATATAGAGTATCCACGGGGCTTTACAGAAGACTTACAGACCTCCTAGGCTTAAGAAACTTGCTGTATGAGCAGCCAGAGCAGCTTGCAAGACACCAGGCAGCCTTCCATGAAAATCCATCCCGCCCATGGAAACATGACACATTTCTACAAATAAGGTTTTATTCAAAAATCATCATTTTCCAATAAAAACGTGTCATTCCCTCCTTCAAGAAAAAGAATTCACCCTCTTAAAAAATGAACAAGCTTACACTGGTGGTTTAAACTAAGCAACAGCCCATGGGGAAGGAAAGTCATACTCAAAGGCAAGACAACACCGGACTTCAGGAAGTGCAACAGGCCAGAGAAGTATGGAGAAAGCATCCAGGGGCTGCTCAGATGTACAGTTTTTCACTCACAGGACAGGAGTCTGAGGGAAGACTGGTGAAATACATTCCTATATTGTTGCTATGTTTTCAGCTCAAAACCACTCTTTTGATTCTGTCTTGTAAAATTTCAAGGATTACATGTAGGACGCCTTCACTTTTTGTTTAGTATGTCCTTAAAAGCATCATCTTTGTTTTAGGACCCATTTTCATTTAAGGAAAAATGACCAAGAGCTGTAATCTGCAAGGAAAGCTAGGGGCAGTTCAAAATGCCTGGTGTAAAGCCATGTATTGAGAACACAACCATGGTCAAACCGTTCATCTTGGAAGCCAGCATTAGCCAAAATGAACAACGCATTACCACACAAAGAGTGTTGTCCCCACTCTTTCTAACCACCTACTTCTCGCCCCATTTCCTTTTCTGCCCTTCCAAAATTTTGCTCTTCTTACATGGATGTTGCCCAATGTGATTCTGTTGGACTGAGTTTGTGAAGTCCAGTGCACAGTGCAGTTCTGCAGGAAACAAGCAGTTACACATACTTTGAAGTTTGCTTCAGCCGTGGGCTGACCACAGGTGCTGCCTCATTCATAAGAAGAATCTGGTCTGCTTGGTGCTTTACAGAGCAAAGCAAAACTTCAATACTTCCTCAAAAGCCTGCTGAATCGCACTGCAAACACTGCTGAGCACAGCAAGGGTATCTCAGGCATTCTCACTGCAATGTGTCACTTGCTGTGCTCTGCACCGTCTTAAGCCCTTCATGGCTGGACATTTTGGTTTTCAGTTTCAGATGGCATGACAGAAGTCATAGGTAACAGCAACCCAGAAGCACTGACCCAGGGATGACGCTCTT